TAGTTAGAAGGATTAAGACAGCTGCGGAGAAAGGAGGTTTAGGGAGGAGGGTGGAAAGAAAAGTGGTGAAGGAAAAGGGAAAAGTTACTGTGGAGGAGAATGCCCAACAGGAGGATAAGGCAGATACAGTAAGGGTCTGGACGGATGGAAAGTAGTAGGGGCAATGGAAAGGCTGGGGCTGTGGCTGGATATGGAATTTTCTTCAGTGATGGTGATGAGAGGTATGTTCATTCTCTTGTTCAGAAGCCCCCAAAATATATACTAAAAGCAACCCATAGAAATGTTTCTGCCCCTCTGGAAGGTACACCTCAAACCAATCAACGAGCTGAACTCACCGCGGCTCTCCGCGCTCTTGAAATCGTACCCCTGGATAAAAACATTGAAATCATCACAGACAGCAACTACACGATCAATTGCGCGACGGTGTGGTACAAGGGCTGGGAGAAAAATGGTTGGAAAACCAGTACCGGGAACGCGGTCATGAATGAAGATTTGGTGAAGCAGATTAGGGAACGTATCGATGAAAGGACGAAGGCTAAAGTTCAGACAAATTTGACGTGGGTTAAGGGACATGATGAGAATCCGGGCAATGTAGCGGCAGATAGGTTGGCTGTCAGCGGGGCGATGGGAAAAAGGAAATGAATGGCAGAAAGAAGGTGAGGGAAATGCGGGTTCATGTAGGTATGAGCGTTATGCTATTGCTCGGTAGACAGAATACCTTTGTAGCTTCCTGAGATTGGGTCGACTAATGAGTCTGAGTCTGAGTCTGAGTCTGTGATGTTCAATAGAGAAGATGCTTTTGAAGGATGAGGAAGCATGGCATTCATATTCATGTCTCTGATGATGATATTAATCTTACATAGGTACATTTTTTTATGGGTTTGATGGTGTTCTTGTACAACAGGAGTTTATATCCAAACTACTCTCAGCTGCTGCTTTATGGTCGGGAGAATCCTAGGGAGTACATCTTCTTGTGGTAAATCTGTGGTGGATATGTATTAGTTAGAGAGAGAGGAGGGAGAGGGAGGGAATTGTGTTTACGGTGTTTGAATTGGTAGGCATAGATATTGATGTTGGGTTGGGTTGGGTTGGTGTGGTAGCTGTCTAGGTATAGTTGGGTATTATTAGTATGTGGGGGGAAGAAATGGGAATGGAGATGGAAATGGAAATATGTTTGTTGGGGGTAGATATTGTAAGGTTATGATTATATTACAGTGATCTCGGGAGTAGATGTCTGTTTAATAGATAGATGATGGATGTACATATTGTGATTTTGCGGAGTATATATACCCAGGTATATTTTGTATTTGCTTAAAGCCAATGATTCCCTTGGTTTAACCTACTGCTGTATATTGGTTGAATATGTTATTGATTGATTTATAAAGGATTATATATGAATCCGAACACAGCATTATCAGAATTATCGTGAAAGAAGGG